TATTTTAGAAAACTATTATATTACATTGTACATTTTATATATATATATTATTACATACAATCATTTTTGTTGATATCATATGTTATTTTTAATAATGAATTTGTTATTAACTTATAAATATTTTAACATTACCTATTTAAGTATATATTGATCCAAGTTTTCAAGAATGGTAAATATGGGGTTAAACGAACTCAACTCCGACTACGCTGATTTTAAAATATGTTGTTAGGGGTATAATTAATTTTTTACTAATATATATATATATATATATAAATATATATTACCGTTGTTTGGCCACAATTTTCGAGACATATGCAAAAATATTTTTAACATTATGTAGTTAATATTTTGCATTTTTTAAACCAGTTGCCTTACAGCGGGCAAATTAAGTCATTAGGTCCAAATCTAATCCAAATGCGATGCATAAAGTACGATACATAATATTAAGTACATTTTTGCTAATATTTCTAAAATTAAACCCGAGCAGCAATTATATATACAAAGGAAAGCTAATAAAAATAATTTCCTTAACAATATATGTATTTGAAGTTCATTTATCAGTAAGCAGGTGGAACTTCTAAACATTTAATTGTCAGTTTTTGTAAATATCACAGAAACTGATATAGCTAGGTATACTATATAAAGCCGATATTACGTATTTCAAGGTCAACATGATCAACACTAAGTCTGCTAAACCTTATAGTATTTACTTATCTTAAGAATCTCTAAAATTGAACTCCTAATCTATTATTTAAAGTAAAAGTTATTTATTTTAGCAACAATAAAGCAGCCAAACTATTTCGAAAATAATTTAATTTTTTATGACAATTTCTATATTGTGTTATGGAAAAAGTGTACTTGTTTGCATCAAATTTAATAATTTCTAAAGGTTTATGATTTATAAATTTTGAACGTCCAATATTGAATGTTAAACAGGTTATTATATATAAATTATAGGAAATAAATACTATGATACAAAATATCTATATTTTAGGTTCTTTATTCTAAAAAAGGTGTTCCAAATAGTTCAGAAAGAAATACAAGATGTATTGATGTATTATTTAGGGACGTATCTTCATTTTTTCAACCCCTATTACTATTTATCATTTTTTCAGAATAATATCTACATATATACATTATTTTATTGAGATAAAGTTTGGTGTTTAATCTTTCGACTATTTTCCTTGTAGATATTTCACAAAATAAGCGTTTATTTTTGATTTTGTTGAAAGTAAATTGTAGTTGTAATTGTTTAACAAAAATAATAATGAAAATATAATTTGATAAATGTTTTTAATCAGAATGTACGAATCTACGAATTCTATATCAGTAATGATCTGATCGTTTATTGTCGAATTTATTTTCTTATTATTTTAATCTTCTAATAAGATCTATTGTTCGAGTCTATCGATTTCTCGAACCGAAATTCTAAGCTTTTCTTAACAAAAATGGCGGCAATGGGGAACGCATGTCAAGTGATTTTGCGGTGTTGATAAACAAAGAATTTTAATTAAATAGCACCATAAAAGTGTTAACTAATGAGCAATATTTTTTGTAGATGTTCTATAAATATATAATTTCAAATAATATCAGAACAGTGATAAAAACTGGCAACTAAAACGGAGTGTCAAAATAGTACCGACAACGTCGAACGTGGCGTTGAGGTTATGGACAACTTCGTTAAGATCGAAAAAATAGGGGAAGGGACCTATGGAGTGGTTTATAAAGCGAAAGATAAGGTGACTGGGAAGCTGGTGGCACTTAAGAAAATTCGACTCGAGACGTATGTCACTTAGAATTTTTATCTACAACATCTCTATCTTTTCATAAATACTTACGTCGAATTATGAGAGATTCTATATTAGCTACAAAATGAACATATAATTCTTTTGTTAATAATTTAAAGGTATTCTTACTTTTTTTACTCTTAATTTTACTATGTTAACTTCAGTATATTTAAGGGTACATCTCATAAATATATGAAAATGTTATTTTTAATATTTCTACGTAAATACTGTACATTATTCTTAATAAGTGTCCATGTATATCTTTCATATGCCTAGATACATGGCATAGAAAATAGTATGAATTTTCAAAACAATATGTTATTGCTATATATATTAATACAATTTTTATTGTTTTTAATCATTAAAATGAATTTTTTATTTACATACTTTTACAAGCATGTGCATCTTATACTATTGGATATAACTACTCCTTGCATATTTTAACTTATCACAATTTGTTTTCATTAATAAAAATGCAATTGTTTTAAATATTAAATATTTCACAAAGTTCCAATAAATTAGTTACCTTTTTAACTTGTTATACGTTTTAAAAATAAGTAACTGTTCATTTTGTAAATAACAAAATAATCATTTATGTTTATTTATTGTCGTCCTTCATAATACAAATAACATTAAAGGGAAATTGATTAATTATATCAGCCAAGCTTTTGCTTACATGCATTGCTAACATATCTGCTAATTAGCACATTGGGGTCAGCTGAATCTGCAGGGGCCACGTTATACTATATTTTCGTAGCACCACATTATTCAGCTTGTCCCATTGTGTCATGCTCGCCTGGTTTTAGTTTTATAGCTTTTAATTAATTCATTGCAACTATTAATGCTATCAATAAAATCTCCCTCTATAAATGTACCTTATATTATTCGTTTTACTAAATCAAAAATATAACATCAATTTAATGTTTATCATTTAAGATTATTGAAAGTCAGTTAAAATTCGAATTTTAATATGAATTATGTAGTAGATCATCCCAAATTTTAATTTTTGTTGTTTCAAAAATTTTGCATATTTTGAATGGAATAAACAATGATTTAATAATATTAAGTAAGTATGGTGGATGAAATGTGATTTCTTAATTATGTTGTTTAATGTTTTATAGTATTTTATTTCTTATACCTGCTCTTTGTATTTTATAATTATTTTTCTATTGAAATTATATGTAATTTATTTAACTGTTCAGTGTAAATTGTAGCCATACATGTTCATGCAGGTTCATGTCATTAAAAATGTATGAATTTGTTTCACAATATTATGTATTTAATGTATCTTTATCTTCTTTACTATGTGCATTGAGTAACTTTTTATTAAAAGATAACAATTTTATCAAAATCAAATTTTGAGGATTACAATCTTAAGTTTCTTTAAAATATTCAGCTCTGTGGATTTACCTGATTCATTACCAACTGTATTGATTCATAATAAGATTAATAAGTTTTAAGCATTCCATCCTGATTGCACTTATTTATTCTTATGTTATAATGCTGTTACCTGCTGTTAGCATCACAATTAGATACAATTTTAATACTGTGTTTGTGTTTCTGGTTTTCTTGAGATTCTAGTTTTTCCAATCTGAATTAAAATTAACTATTCTATTACTGACTACTAATATGTGTATATATAAAATAACATTAATTTCTATCAGGGAAAGTGAAGGTGTTCCATCCACTGCTATTCGAGAAATATCATTATTAAGGAAACTTACTCATCCAAATATTGTTCAGTTGTTTGATGTGGTAGATGGTGATAAACACCTTTATCTTGTTTTTGAATTCTTACAACAAGATTTAAAAAAATTACTCGACTCGCTTAAAGGAGGATTAGATCAGGCACTTGTAAAGGTACTACTTTCGAAAGCAATCAGAATTAAAAATAGGTGTATGCATGCTTCAATGACAAGTCTGTTATTTTTACAGAGTTATCTGTTTCAATTATTGAAAGCAATTTCCTTCTGCCATCTTCGTTGTATTTTACACAGAGATTTAAAACCACAGAATTTGTTAATAGATCGGGAGGGTCATATAAAATTAGCAGATTTTGGATTAGCAAGGACATTTGGTGTTCCAGTTCGTACATATACACATGAAATAATAACCCTGTGGTACAGGGCACCAGAGATACTTTTAGGAACTAAATTGTATTCCAATGCAGTGGATGTTTGGAGTCTTGGTTGTATATTCGCAGAAATGGTATTATAATTGCAATATGAATAACATATTTATTCAAAATACAGATTGATAATATACAAAAATTAGTACGTATAATTATAAGTTTAACTTCACAAAATATTAATGTCAATCTCATAGGCAACCAGGAGAGCATTGTTTCCAGGAGATTCAGAAATAGATCAGCTTTTCAGGATATTTCGTACATTAGGTACACCTGATGAAAGTATTTGGCCTGGAGTATCACAGCTACCTGATTATACGTCAATGTTTCCAAGATGGGAACCAAGATGTTTAGATGAAGTTGTACCATCGTTTGATTCTGATGCCAAAGATTTGCTTTTGGTGAGAATTATATTTGTAATTGTAAACCTTTATGTTTAAATGTAAATAACTAAAAATTTATATGTAATATATTTGCATTTCTATTAGTCTCAGTATTTTTTGTTTTAATAGAAACTCTTGACTTATGATCCAAATCAGAGGATAACAGCGAAAAAAGGATTAAATCACCCTTACTTTACTGGAGTTACATTAGTACCACCACCACTGCCAAAGAAAAATTAATCTAGATGTATTGTCATAATTTACTGTATTTCATAGGTTTTCTTTCGACAAGAAACACTGCCAATAATATAATTATTGAAATCAAATATCTGTAGAATTGTTTTCCGAACATACTTTGAATTCATCATACTGAAAATGCTTATGTAAGGAAGATATATTTTGCTATGTACATTAAAACTCACATATACATATTTATATTAGATGATATTGCTTTAGAATGTCTTCTGTTCTTATGAATTAATATTTTCCTTTTCTTATTAATAACAAATAATTATACATTTCAGTTTTTCTATTTGTATAAAAATATTTATACTTGCTTTTGAAGGTTTGAATTAAAAACATTTTTCAACATTCTTTTGTATTAAAAACAATACATCTGTATTTTGTAATATTATGTATATTAAATATTTCTAGTGCATAGAAATATATTTTATTATGTATTTCTGTATATATCTATATGTATATATGCATATATGTGTGTGTGAATGCGAATGCATGTTAAATGTTTATATGATTGGATATATCCATCTTCAGTACTCTTAGGATTAAAAACAGATCCAATCTCCAAAAATTAAAACTTTATGTATTTCTAGGTAAGCATACAACGTTAATAACATTCTATCTTTTTGTTACATTTATCCCTTTAATGTAATATTTATTTTACCGTATTTTACAGTATTTTACGAAATAAATAAAATAAAATACTTTAATCTTGTATTTTAAATATGTATGCACTTAAAATATTTTTTCATTATAAGAGTAAATTCAGGGAAAAAATGGCATTATAATGGAAGAAAACACAATATTTGGTAAAGTAAATTTATTTTTAGATTAAGTACGTCTATTTGCATATAATAAAGTAATACATTGTTTAAAATTTTCTTCGCTTGGACTACTCCTTCGTAGGTATAATCAATCCAGCGAAATTGAACAGAAGTATGTTAAATAAAGCTCTACTATTTTATTATCTTTCACTAAAAATACTATTTTTAAACTTTATTTTAGAAACTTACTACCACAAATAAGTTATTTTATTTTCAAACTTAATTTAAAATAAATTATAGATTATTTACATTGACTCTTCCAAATAATATTTTACTTAGCACTGTGAGTGATACGGCAATGAAAACACTGTTCAATAAATTAAATCTTTTTTTCTGATCTACAAGATCTATTAGATGATTTTTGTGGAGTTTTTCGTCCCAAACACGGATTTCGCAATGGAATTGATGTACATATCTTCGAATTTTGCCAAAGAGGCATTATATTGGGCAAAAATGAGATACCATATTGTAGGTAATATTTCATAAATAAATAATTGTATTTTTTTCTTAATATCGTATTAACAGAGCATATATAATTATGTGACTCGAAATTGTTAAAAACAGGGAGTTCTCTATGTGTAACTATGTGTGTTATATTTCTTTTCGCAAGAATATCGTAGAGTAGAATATACTTTCTCAATTTTTCATGATCTTTTATAAATACTTAAATGTTCAACAATACTTTCTCTATTTTTTAAGTTTAAATTGAATCCTCCAGCACTTATAATTTCCATACAATACTTCATTTTCTTAAAATCACATATTTTACGAAAGCTTTTCTTTTTCAAAACTCGAGTCTTAGAGAAGTTCTGCTTCCGGTTTTGTGTTAGTGAAAGAAGCTTTATAAAAATCATCTGATGGATATTAAACCTTAACATTTATGTTCTATAGTGTAATTAGTTGATCTAAAAAATCAGGTGACAAAAATACGTTGGATGTCAAATTTATTCTTACATCGTTCCTGCGGGACTAGCACGAAATTCATTCAGTGTGTTACACTGTTTAATTGCGCGGAATGCTCTATCAACTTCGGTAGACTGATTTTAGAATGAGTTTCAGAAACTGGGACGGCTTCTGGTGGTACAGGCGACGGTGCTAATTTAGGAAATCGTATATTTTTGGGGGATGTTTTTCTAGGTGTACGAAGGGATGATTTGTTTGGGCTTTTTAAATTACTGCATTCCGTAGAAGTAGGAGATTTTGGAGTTCTGTCTTCCGTGGCCGTTTTGCCGTTCTCTAAATTCAGATTTTTCTTCGATTCACTCACCGCCTTCGCGGTATCTTTGGACAACGAATTCTTTTTCGATTCGGTTGCTTCCGATGATTTGGCGAAACTATTTCTGACTGCTTTAGATGTCACCATAGAGGATGGCGATGGTAGTTTTCGTGTTTTTGTCGGTGTGGTAGGCGGCGGTTGAGGTAAATTTTCCTTTGACGGTTCAGTGGAAAGGGAATTGACCTCTTCAGTGTTTTCAATCTGGAAAATATGTGTTCAAAATTGAGTCCGGGACTCTATTAGATACTTCTCAGTTTTCTACACTTACGTAATACGTAGTATTGATAATTAGGACTTTTTTTTTATTAGGAAGCCAAAGTTAATTCCTAAAAGGAAATAATTATACATTTATACAAAAATGTTTTGTAGATTGCGAATGTTCATACATTTACAGCATATTAACTTTTAAAACATTTAAGTGTCAGAATGAAATTTCTTATAATTTTTACACTAAAAATATATTAAGGTTTTTAATGAAGAAAATAATTTCCTATTTGTTGCTGATTTTCCCAAATGTATTTTCAAACAAATTGAATGCACACTGCATCAACATCCCCAATCTAATTATCATCTTTACTTATGATTCATCATAAATATCTTTCGTTATTTTCTTGAAATTTTTTTTCTGTAAGATACTTCAAAGATACTAATTTTTTAACTAGTAATTTGGTATGCAATAATCATCGTTCAATTTGAATAATGCTATTATTGCTATTATTTAATTATTGAGCATAGTTTGACTATTAGCAGAAGTTATTTACGATTTAATCTGATTTAGAATCGTTTATATTAAGTATATTCTGGTACACTGTAGAACAAATAAAATAGTATTATACAAAGTGTTCTGCAATTTGAAGGGGTGTGATTATACAGAAAAGTATAAATTAGAAACAAAATAAAATCTTTTCATTAGAGGTATTCTCAATAGAAAAATCAAACATGAATATCTAAATCAATCGTGCTCAATAAATTTTCAAATTATTCTGATTTTTTATTTTTTGTGTACAGTAACTTTCTGCCAATCGAAGCAGACACGTGCACGTATACTGCATACAAGTTTTCAATGATTTTCTTGGAAAGAGCATTACTGAAAATAATTTTATTTTACGTTTTATTATGCACCCCGTAAATTTAATAAATATTCCAATATTCACTTATTAATTACGTGTTACTCATTCTTAACGATTTCTAAAGATTGCAGAGACTGTGCAGACTAACCTTGGTTTACAGAGGCGGTGAAAAGTAGCAATTATTCTGTGTCCACCATGAGTAGTATGTGATGGTGAGGTACACTCTGTGCGTGTTAATCGACGCAATTCAAGTGAACTTACTAAATATATTAAACATTTAGGAAAAAAAAGTGTTAAGAAGGACTCGTTCTTATTTAAAAACCTTTGGCACTAGTTTGTAAAATTAAATCTAATATTTAAAATGTGTGCTGTCGAGTCATACTTTGTGTGCTGCAAGTAATACTATTTATTATTGACTGAAACAAATTGTGCAACAGAATAGCGTCAATCGAAATAATACATAGAAAAAAAATAGAATAAAATGAACAAAAAACTTGTAACTTGTATTCTAAATCGTTTTAATGAATAAAATTATTAAGATCAGTCACCTTAATTTATTTATAAATTAAAAGAAAAACGTAATATAACGATTTCTTTTTTAATTCGTTGATAGGTATGCGGGATGATCGTTGTACAATTGTGTTCTATGAAGTGATTACTCGTGATAATTGCAACGATTTAATATTATTTAATGTTTTGTCGAAATCGAATTATTAGTTGAGTCAGAGTGTATAATAATGTGGAAGCGATAAACTATAATACATATTACATACTTTTTTCTAGGTTGTATGAATTATTTGAAAGTGACATACAGTCGAGATTTTTCTGAAACGTTTACTCAATTTTTGTTATTTAATATATTCATTCATCTTTTCCATACATTCTTAATTATCTTATGCTATCCATCTTATTGTAAACCAGCAACGAGATTCCATCGTTTATTTCACTGTGTGTGTGCAATAAATAAAGGTAATATATGTATCTACAATATTGTTTACCATTTTTATCATATTCTATCACTCAAATACAATACGAAACGTGTTTTGTCGCGTGGTTTGCTTTCTTTCACAAGATGCATCGAATATGATTGCACGTTGCGTTTCTAGGTGTGCTTTTTTTTCTCTTCTGACAATGAGGTTTAATTAGGATCTCTAGTGATCCAAGTTCATGTAAATAATCCACATGACAAAATAAATTCATCGTGAATCGGCGCTTTTGAAATAAGTCAACAATGCGTGTCGCGTATGAATTATTTCTCAGAAACATTCTCGCTGTTATATCCGGGTAACATCTGTTTAATTGCGTCGAGAGTTTACATACACCTATACAGACAAAATCAATCAATGTTTCAAAAATATATTTATGTAAATCTGTCATTTTGGAAGCATCCTCCTTAAAAATTTTATTGAAATGTTTGTAAGAATAACGATTGCATATAGGCATAAAGAAAATCATTGGATATATTTAAAAGTAAACATTATTTGATATTTTAAATGTTTCATCTGTATCTGTCGTAGGATACTATTAAAAATTATTCTATAAATAATAATAATAATTATTATATTTATGGTTCATTGCAAAAGTCAATTTTAAAATCTTATTTCATATAAATCACTTCGTTCCTACTATTTCCAAAAACTTTCCAACGATATTCTCAAAAATTACTATTAAAATTATAAAATTTCTACTTGTAATAATAATTGCTCAATAAAATCTAACTTTATACTTGTAAATCATTCTGAAATATAACATTATATTTGTAACTAGGTATATGTAATCTCTTAAAGCTTATGTTAACAATGCTCCATTTATTAAATTTTAATTATGGAAAACGACTGACAAATTGGAATACATGTGTTGTAACATATGAAATAGCCGTTGAAATAAGCACAGTTTTGTTCTTAGTAATAGTAATCCATTTTAATTCTATTAGCGTTTCTTTACTACAGATTGCGCATTATATTTTATCCAATATAATTCTTTTAATTAAACTTAAAAACCCTTTCGCTGGGAATGACAAGGTAACTTGTCATTCAAATTCCATTTCATTTCTCAATAGTTCTTCGTTTTCGTGTTTATTCGACAAATAATTCTTGTATTTTATCGAATCAATGTCTGTACTAATATAAACCATGCAATGTCGAAGTGTATCATCGTACAATGTTCACTATATTACTTTAATTCACTCCGAATTGCGCTTCTATAAATCTTCGCGTTTCGGATATACGCAGTTAAAAAATTTTAACAACGAGTAGGAAAAGTAATTTATTAATTTCAAGTTTGTTGAATTATCTCAAATGACTAGAAATTATTATAGCATTTCTGGTGACCTTTCTTCTGTTTTGTATATATTTATCTGTTTTATTTTCAAATTGTGTTACGAAGTATAAGTATGACAAATTATCTGTGAATTTTACATTCACTGAACTATTATTTTTTTAATTAGTAAACTACGGATCTTTATGCAAATTTATAAAAATTAGAATAAGGAAATAATTTCTGCTGATTTTTGTTAATATACACGTTTTATTGTATTTTACAAATTTGCTCATGCTATAAATTCATAAAGACCTGTTTACTGATTATTAGGCTACAAGTGTTTACGTATTTATAGCTTACAAAAATTAAGAAAAAAAAACAATAAAATAAAAGTTTGAATAAAATTTTAGTTCTTTTTATGTTGTTATTAATCTAATCAATGTATTAATATATCAGAAATAATATTCCATTTTATTTTATATTTTCGGTACTTAGTTGTAAAAGTGCAATTTTGTATAAACTTCCGCAGTCTACGAATTAGTGTGTTAGAACACCAAAAGATTCAGCTCAGTCCCGATAATTCCAAACACATTTAATATTTAATTTCTAAATTTAATTTCGTAATGAAAAAGGAACAATTTATTTTTGTTAGTTACCTTAGATATTAATGGAATTGATAGCTTGAACAAACAGAAATGTATAGATAAAAATGGTCAATTAACGTTCCTTACAAGGGAAGTTATCGAACCTAGAAATCCAAAAACTTATGGAACTTTGTCTGTAAGTAGAGTGGGTCAAGGTTTATATATTGTGAGATTTTTTTCGTGCCGAATTTTACTTTGAAGGGGTAAAACCGCCCCTTAAAAAAAAAGTAAATTTTTCTTTTATGATGAAAACAAGTTTAAACGAATAATACACTGTTCCTTCGCGTATATAAAATTGCAAAATTGAAACGTGAAAGTTAACTCCTTCAAAGTGAAATATGTATAAGCCTTGACTTACTCTACTTACATACAAAGTTTCGTAAGTTTCTGAATTGCCGGGTTATCGAACTTTCCTTGTTAGTTGTTAATTAACAATGTAAACTAACCCTATCAAGGGTTAAACTTGTAAAATGGCTGAAATATTTCTTAATACTTTCTTAGGTTGAATCTTGAAAGTAACGAAATATTAATCGACATTAAACTTAATATTAATAATTGCATCACCTCCAAAGAATGTTTTTATGCATACATTGTGCAAAGAATATGGAACATTAAAACAGATAATTGCATATGTTACAACTCTTTTAATCAACATCGTCCCTACAGGGAACTTTTTGTATTCATTTATCATTAGACTTGATTATAGATTATCGTATTTGCCATTAGGTGAGTATACCCTTACTATTAATTCTCAGAGTATTATAATAATTATGAACAGTTACATATTTCATTTTAAAATCGGTACTAGTAATTATAAGTCTACACAACATATTGGACTTTCAAATTTTCAATATCAAGTGAGTATCACAAATAATAATCACTATGAATGATAGTCACAGATAAAAAATAAATTCAATTTTGCCTTTGATAGTCTGAGAATTAAAGCAAGCTATTTAAACAAATATAATGAATAGACTGCGGATGTTTATGGAAATTTATACATAGATATATAGATAACCATAGGTAAACTAAAACCTAATATCTTCAATAATTTGAAAGTCACTTGGACTATAATTAATCCATTTCACAAAAATGTATTATGTTTTCGTAATAATCTTTACGAGTTATAAGTGCATAAAAATCCGCAGATAAATATGTAGATTACGGATTTTTATATAAAATTCTATTATAGTCAATATTAATTATTGTAACCATTACACTTGCGTCAGTAATTGTAATATTCAAATAAAATAGGATTATATTTTCATAGATTAAAAATCATGTAAGAAAATGAAACACTTTTTTACTTCTTTTTCTTTTTAAGGATCTTCGTAAGTTGTAAATGCATAAAAATCCGCAGTCGGAAATGACAAGTAACAAGGAATGTAAGAATCGTCCAAGCGTATTGTATCATGTACGGAGCGTACATAAGAACAGCGTTTCTTCCTCGAGAAAATATTTAGAAGATAAAACATAGTTTTATTGGAAACTCCTTCTCGAATATACAATCACAATCGTTACGTTTTTATCCACTACACACCTTGAACTTAATCGTACAGTTTGCTCTATTATCGTATACTCCGCACATGCTTTTGATTAACAGTGATGCACAATAATAATCAATTTGTTTCGTTTTAAACGACAACGCGCGTTTTGTAATTCGGCTGCGAATTTTCTGCGTTTACGACAAACGGAAGCGTGTGAAATGTAAAACAGTAAAAACTTCAAAAATGAGAATTCCAAGTAGAAATTAATTTCCCTCTAACTTCTGTTTCTTGAAATTTCGTCGGAAAACTGTGATTCTGCACAAAAGTCCGCAGTCTGTTCATAATCTATCATTTTCCGATAGAATAATATCATCGTCATTCGCAATTGTTAATTCATACTTCTTTATATGCTCATTTGTGTGACTAAAGTCAGAATATACTTACAATTAGCAGGGCAAGAGCAGCACTTGCACAATTATAGCCGAAAAATGTATGCATCACCATATACAATGTGTCCTCTACAATCTCAACTATTCTAAACACGAAGTATCTGGCTTTAACCCGGAAGTAGGCGAGTAGGTGAGTGATCATTAGACTGCGGATATTTATGCAAATATAGACTCTTATGAACTAAACTACAAAAATCTTTCGACTCAGTGATGCTTTGATGGGGATGTAAATAAAATCTTTTTTAAATAAATAAAATGAAAGTTGTTCCACATAAAATTTCCACGAAATCTTAGATCACTGGGTATACTATAAATGCATAAAATCCATTGTGCTACAATGCATAATCTAGTGATCATTGCACATACAGTGTTTAAATTCTCCGCAATTTTCTAGTCGTTCAAACGTAATATCCATAACTCATCCTTCAAGTTTAGTATAAATTGTCTTTAAACCACTCAGTTAATATCATCTTTCTTATTTGCGACAGTAAATCTAGAACATTTGTCGCGCAAATTAGTAGACAAGAGATATAGCGAATCCATAAAATTTATTCACGTCTCACAATGAACTTTCTTATAAAAATTTGAACTCGGAAGATCTCGGAGCTGAATTCTTGAAACGTGGTTTAACATTCAAAAATCAGTATCTATAACCCTGTATACCCTGAAGGTACATTGCAGTACCATTTTCATTGAAATGCAGCTTTGATCTACACAGGAATCAATTTAATTAAAAGAAAAAAAGAAACAAAAAAAGCAAAATCTTTCGTAATTTAAATAATAAAAATAAATAAATAAATTCTTTGTAATTCAATATAATTGAATTTATAATATTATCATATGTATTTATGGCTCAATGATTGTAAAAAATATTTACATTTGCCATACGTGCTATCTGAATAATTTTAAAGTGTCTAGAATAAAGATAACAGTGTGAAATAAAATCACTTTAAGACGGATGATTTTAGGAGTTCGCTATATATTGAGCACTCGCTACCTTGCACGTTCAATTAGAACTACAAGACTGTTTACTCAGACGACAAAATGTTATATTTATTATACCGTAAATAACTGGTACCGTGCTACAGATTATTCTGTCCCTCATTCGTTCATTAAGAGTAAAGTATATCGTCATTTAAATAAAGTACATTCTTTACGTGTTACGTGCACGCTAAAAGTGTGTGCGAATGTGTCATAAAAAAGCGGAAATTTAATGTAATTGTCGTTATATTAGACTGCGGATTTTTAAATATATTTTCATTTCTCTAGTCCAGAACGAGTACCCTTTAGACGACCTTTATACCATTATAAACACATAAAAATCTGCAGTCTGGTTAATACGCAAATGGTCGCATCGTTCTCTATTGCTTTCAAAGTTGTTCGTTATTTAGCATTATATTTTGGTTTTATTGTTACAGCACACACAAAGCTTTGTATTATTGGCATGTCGGAAATAGCATCGAAATTTCTTTCTATTATTACATAATATTAACAAAAATACACCTACCCTCGGGCTATGAGTCACGTTACTAATCGTTTTGAACATTGAGTTCGTGTTGTTATGCGATTCGCAAGTTACGTTACGTGTCTTATGTTTGTCTTGTAGGGACGCGATCGTTTCCAGACCATCATGAGAAATAAGAATTTGCTTTTCCCTAATATCTAAGCGTATCACGTTATCGCGTTTCCTTTTCAGATCGGAAAAATGTCATTGGAAAGAATGGGCCTTGTAAATGCAATGTTCATGTCGCGTTACATTAAACTGTAAGTAAAGGTGTCGTGACCTTATTATAAATATTTTCCTGTTGTCAAGGTACGTAGTTTTATAACAAAGTGAAAGCTTTATAAAAATTTATAGAACCACGTGTGTAATTAGTTAACTGCGGATGTTTATGCAAATTTACATTTTTATAGAGAAACTTTGGGGAATTCGAAATGAAATGAAATGTCACCTCTCAAGTTAATTCTTTCGGTATATTAAGTTAATCGAAATAATAGTTTGAATGTTAAAAGCATTACTGATTTTTTTCGGTTTTCATCGGTTTCAAAATGCATAAAGATCCGCAGTGGCTTAGTAATTAGTGATTTGCAGTCTTGAGTGCAACAACTGTGTCAAGTTCTCTACAATGAGATGAATAGTATTGCTCGTTTGTACGAAAAGTTATCATTTTTGCAATCTGAAAAGCATCGCAAGCTGTCCCCTCTCATTCCAACAACGTTCAATTAACCCTCATCCATCTTTCATTTTTCCTACTTAATTTACCCTTCGCTGACCAATTAACGCAACGGTAAAAAATCAATACACGGAAAGATAAAGTGAAATTGAGAAGTCCGTTCTCCCAATTCTATTATTAAAAATAAATAAGCAATAAAATTGACAAATTCTCTCATTGAAAATAAATAAATAGCGAAATTGATAAATTCCTTTATTCAAAATCGAAAAAATTGAAATTTCTGTGCATTCGGTTATAAATGAATCAATGTGCAGCGGTCTTTTATATCGTATACACCGCACAGTGTCAAATTAGTACAAGGGGCGGACGAGGGTTAATGTTTTAGATTTCCTTTCCTAAAACGTTCACTTCGTTCTTTGGCGAACGGCCAACACAATGTGTGTCGAGAAACGAATGATTGCAAATCAACGATGCAATGACGAATACTTAGTGAATAAATGCGTCAGATATTTTCGTGTGACGAAGAAACGACTGGTTGTCACGTATGTACGTATATAGATGGTTGCCGTATCACGCTAGTCACGTACCACACGTGTACATCGTACGTACACGTTTATCGATCGGAAGGGCGCGCACGTACGAGGAAGAAGACACCCCTTCCGCCCCTCACAGCGCTTTTCTCTGTCGATTAAAATCACAACATCATGTAGAAAAGTTTCTCTCTCTCTCTCTCTCTTTTCTTCTCTCTTTTTTTTCGTTATGGCACGGAAAAATTGTTGCAGTCGTGATTCTTTCGAAACAGCGGCGGTGTTTAAGGATCATAAACTTGCTCGCATTGTACCTAACTTTTAGCAGCGGTACAATGTTCGTTTCGCGATGTTGGATTGAAGAAATTAACTCGATCGCTTGTTCGTCCTCATACGTATATCGTTTCGACCCTTCGAACGCGGGACGAACGCAGCCCTTTGATCCAACCATCGGGGTAGAAAAATATGGGTGATTAATTAGACGCAAATGACACGAGAAGCGAGTTTAGCGGTCGTGTGTGTGTGTTTTTTATTTTCGTGATCTAGCATTCTTGATTGAGGTTCTCGTCCGAAGTAGGCAGATTGTTCTTGACGGCGGTGATCGTGCCAGGGGGCACGGGGCTCTGCGGGCATAACACAGTTATCAGGATTAAGGTGGCCCGCAAGGCCGTACTAACAGAGCTGGGTAAAATTCGAAGAGAACAATAGAAACATTAAAACTACCGAGCAATTAGAGTGACTTATTTCCAGTTTTTTTTATAAAAATTAAAACAATACGTTTCTTAAGATTCGAAGGATGTCCTAGTGCATAATTTAAATACTTGCAAAATGTAAATTTTGAAGTGGGTCAATTTGATTTGTCCTGTAGTTTTAGTGTTAATATGATTTGTTTTAGGTTTTCACGACCAGGTATACTATGATAAGCGTTTAAAGATTCTGTGTTCATTAGGAATAATTTCCCGACGTTTCGCTAGCATTGCAGCTGGCATTATCAGAGGACTGATGACTCATTCATGCTGGTTAGCCAGGTGTACACCAGATAGTCACGGGACACAAAATCCTATTTGATAAAACTAAAATAATAGCAAGAACTACAGGATTATATCAGAGGAAACACCAGAAAACAGTGGAAATCTTGAAACATCCCAACAACTACAATACAGATTCTGGTTACCAGCTCAGCCCCATTTGGAGCACCCTTATCCTATTTTTTAATTGATTAGCTAATCAATTAAAACACAGAATTGATCATCCATCTGTAACGCCGACCAAGGCATATGTTTAAATAGGAAGCACTGATTCTAGCTAACCAGTATCAGTGAGTCATCATACTCATGATAATGCCAGTTGCAATGCTAGCGAAACGTTGGGACACTATTCCTAATTGACACGGCTCACACCCAGAAATTTTCAACACTTATCACAATTTTAACACACTGACTGTCACAATGGTCACAGACGACCGGAGCTTTCAAATTACTTAGAAACAATCGTAATTTGTCAGATAACTGATGTTGAATGGAAACATTCAATAGTGTAAATAACTAGGTAACAGTGTAACGTAAAAATTGTGGTACCAAATAATTGATAATTCTTCCTTTTTATCTTCGCTACCGAAAATATGTGATACGTAAAACGCTGATGTTTTTCGTGGCAGTCAATCTGTTAAAAAACATATATTAAACGCTGTATAATTCAGATGAAATTATATTTGAAGTAAAGAATCAATTTTGGCGGATAAAATCCTTTTGTTTTAATAGTCTTTAATTTAAAATGCAATATTTTACCCTTTATGTCTTGAATTGCTTCTAAATACTTCAGTTTGTTTAAATAAGACATATATTGAATATATAAATATATACACAGTGTTAGCCCGAAGATATTAGACATTGCAGTGGTGCATGAGTCAGGTCTCCGTTTTAGTTTCATACGTTACTGTCTGCGCTGATACTGATCTACTTCACTCGCGTTACTATCGATGAATCATTACAGTCCAGAGAAATATTCATTTCTTAAAAACTTTTGAAAGGGAAAACAAAACTGTAATTTTCTCATTTGTAATTCTTGTCTCAAATTTTCATACAGAATCACCTTGTATATTTTCTTTTACCCGTACTGCATACTCTGTACAGCAAAGTTCCTCAACCTATGGGTCGTGACCCAATTAAATTTTTAATTAATCGCGACACGAAGGCTGCTGCCTGTGACATGCCGAGAAATTAATGGAATAATTTTAGGTGTATTCGAGAACTATTTTCTTATAGAATTAAATTTCATATTGTAAACACGTAGGTCGCGGTCCTATTATAAAGAAATACGTTGTTTTGTGACTACGGAAAAAAGTTGAGAAACGTTGTCGCATAGTAATACTTTAAATTAACTTATATAGTTTGCTTGAGTTATAGAAATCTTTTAATAAAAATGGAATTTTAAAGTACTTTCAAAACATAAGGAGTTATATGAACCATAATATTTAACAAATTAAATTGTTTTTTAGTTGCGTATGACTATTTATGTGTAACAAGATACATGATTTAAACCTTGAGAAAGAACAATATAGGAAAACTAAATAGAAATATTTCAACATATAGAATAAAATATTGCAGAGACCTCCAAATAAAATACTATTTTTATATGAACGGTTCTATGTATAATAAACAATTTACTATTTAAAAAAATATTTTACCCAGCACTGCATATTAGATTGGGTCACATTAACCCTTTGAAGCATCGAAGTTCGTTCTTTTTCTATGATACATTACATTTGTTCATCGTTGACGTGTACAGTTGATTTAATTGTTAGTGTCAATTTAACGTTTTCTTTCTATCGCGTAGAGTTTACTAGAAATGCGGAGAAATGTTGTAACGTCGAAAATTTAAAAAAATTGCAACAATGGAAATACACAGGTTGCATCATGTAAATTTAACGAAAAAATTTATTCTTCGTTTATAAGTGTTCAGTGAATATTTTATTTATTGATAAATATTTATTAAATATGTTTACAACCAGAATTAAAAATATCCGTATTCATAAATGAAATACGGAGAGAGATCTGTTAAATTCTTTTCCTTTTTTTCATCTTTGTTAGAATCGTGTTAAAATATTGTATAAATGGACACTTTGAAGAATTCCTTAAATTAAAATTAATTAAAATCTGTAGGAAATAATAAATTATTTTTATGAAACAACCCAAAAATTGGTTTATGATTAGTTTAAAAAGCTGTAATTAATCATTTTATAAGACCTTTTTCATGTTTTATATAACTGGAAGCGATGAAGAAGGACTTTTCTATAAAAAGGGAATCATGTGGGTGGTGATATATGACGTGAGTATTACATATTCTGCGAGTTAAAATTTATACCATTTTCAGGTATATCTGAAGGTCATCAGATGCATCAATATGACAACGTTCAGTGAATCATATACTACTAACAGAAAAATATTACTCAGACACTTTTACTTCTCATAATGCATCCTGTGTATCATTTGCATATTATAATACCTAGTAGTATTTTTACACATTAATTTGACACTTTCATTAAAATTCACGGTTATATTATTTATGTTACATTTATACAATAATGATAATTTCGTTCTTACAGCTACATATAATTACGTTAATCAATTCCATGTAATTAATTTTTACAAAGAGAAAAGTACAAATAACTATGTTCGTCTAATTTTTTTAATCTTCATCCATTTTTTAAAAACGCAGAATATATTTATATTAGTTTTTATTATTCCAACTTTTCTGATAGAGCAAACATAAATTTTGCTAGGATGTTCTATCGCTATTATCTTTAAGTCGCAACTTCCTATGTGCGCCTAGAAATTCTTTTCCAAAATATATTAGTTACGTAAGAAAATATAAAAGCAATTGAAAAACGTGCCTCAAAGGGTTAAGCAACTATGTAAAGCAAAACTTAAGCTTCATTAATCTATTCGCATATTTCTATTTCTATCTTATATTTTAATTCAAGTTATATTCTTTAGAAAAATAGTTTAATCCTTTTATTTTAAAATAACTATAAATTGTGATTATCAAACGGGCAATTTTTATTATATTAATCGTGCTTTAAAATCGTAAGCAATTTAAAGTATGTATATCACAATTTATAAAGAAATGTATGCAATTTTATTGTTTATATTCTGTGTTGCACAAGAAAACTTCAACACTGTAAGAAAGCGTACAATGCGTGCCTTCAAGCCTTTTCAGCAAAAAATATACGTATGTATATAAAATGTGTCACAATAGGCAAATTATCTAGTTTAATAAGTAAAGCATATAATTGATTATAAATTATAATTTATAATAATTGGAAAGAGTGAAATTAAATTTTCGTCGTATAGAAACTTTCAGACAATAAAGCATTTTGGAAATAAAGCAAATGAACCTTACACAATGAATTTTATTTATTTCATTTTTCTAAGTTTGAAGGTCATTTGAAGGTCATATTGTGTTACATGGTTGAACTCGTTTAGATGTCGGCTAAAATATATAAGGGGGGAAAAGTATGCAGTTCCGTTTAAAACGAAAAGTTGGTGACCTTGAAAATACCGAAAAAAATGGTATAAAAAAATAATATTATGACGCCGATGTGCATTCTTTGATACCATTATAATTTTTATGTACCGATATTTCATATCTTTAAATCCAACAAAGATATTCAGCTGCGTCTCGTGACTGACCCTGTATTGTATAAAGCCATACTCTATTTCGTTTGTATACTGTTGAAATAGTTTTTTAATATTATACGACAATTGTTTTTAATGCAAAATTTATTTTGCGGTTTATCATATATCTAATATCTAATATGAATCAAATACATTCGATAAATCGACTTGTTCGAAAAGAACGTTATTTTTGTTCTTTAAAATGGAATTATTGCCATATTGGATGCATTGTATGTTGCATATTGCATTGCCTAATGTGAATATGTTATATACATCGTAAATAATTGCAAGAAAGTGGGTGCAGTTTAAAAGTGTTTAATTGGATAAACAAAGTTGTTGAATAATTTGAATATTCAGTCGATGTGTGACTTGAATCGAAAATTTTCGACTATAATTGCATTAGATTAGATCGTGATACGTCTTTTCTTAATTACACAAGGCTTACCTGTGATCCACTGGCGCAGAGGCTTTCCACGTTCGAGCCACTTTGTCGAAGATAATCCCTGTCGTTGAAAATCTTTTTATCGCCGCCGCCTGGTCTATGTTTCACGTTGTCCATAGATCCAATTTTGCTCTCAGCCTTGATATCAATTTTTTGTGTTTGAATCTGGAAAGGGTAACGAATCACTCATTAATCATCATCGTTTACAAGAAAATTGAAGTTTGTTGGCTATTCGGAAAAATATTTATAATTAAGTTCTGTGATCCATTGGTAATACATAGAAAGTTTATCAGTAGATCTGCCGTCATAATTTATGAGTTTATCTTTCGGTTCTTTTACGTGCTTTCTAAACTAAACTTGAGGTTGGCATACAATTAAAAGTTACTGCTCGATGTATGAAGATATTTACACTAAGTTGGAACATGCAGAAGCATGCTTCTATTTCTCTGAACCGATTTTTCACATACTTACTTATTATCTAATCAATTTATGTATCATTAAGAATGTATTCTTTATGTTGTAAATGACAAGAAATAAGTTCTTGCAACGAATTGTAAATATAAGCGTAAAGTAAAAATGTTTTAGTGCAATGAAGATTTTTCTCATTATTTTACACACATTTCGATTTTTCGTTAAAGGATTTAGTAAATATCCATTTAAACTGATAGAAAACTATTATAACAGTTTCTAATTGTACCTTACATTAATTACTTCCCTCACGATTTTGTAAAGCATGATCTGATTTTTGAAAGTGACCAGATGATGTCGTGTGACCAAATGTGTTTTACGAAGAGGTAACTATTGTAGGTCAGTGTTTCATGATATTGCTTGACATACTTACGTCATTGCTTGTATCCTGTGGCGTCTTAGGAGGCGTTGCCGATGACTGAACACCAACAAACAATAATGACTTGTTAATTATGATAGGTGACAACACATGCATACAGGGGTCAACCTTTTGCTAACGATGGGGTGATACTTTTGTTGTTGATCAGAAAGTCCTGAGTTTTTTCATCATAGTGATAACTAGACTGTAGATGTTGATGCATTTACTATATATTGTATATGTATACTAGAAATGAATGTGAGACTCGCAATGAAAGATAAAGTATTCTATATATAATTAAATTCAATATTGTTTACTTACTTCAATATTAAAGTATTAAAATCATTAATAGATGTAATATTTCATCCCTTAAAAAGGAACGTTTAATTTCAGTTTTTTTAAATTATACCTACGAAATTTAATGCTGCATAAAGATCCACCGTCCAGTGATAACCAGTGATAACTCGACTACGAATTTTTATACAAATTTCCATTTTTATAATCGAAAAAAAATGAGGGACTCTACAGATTTTTATTTTCTACATTAAGGTGATATTCTACTTATGTGGCTTCATAAAATTCAATTCGATATATTTTTTAATAATTAAATCTCAGAAATAAGTATTTTCTTAAAAGATTGTATCCAAATTCAGAGTTTCATGATGAATATAATCTTTCTAAAATGATTAGAGATATCTATCTAAAATTTGTATAATAGATACATAAAATGACTCTATTGCTTGAATTAGAATAACATACAAGTATATGCAATAATTATTTAGAAAAAGGGCTGACTTGCCGATTTCAACGATCTTAGAGTGTATTTTCAAGGTCATCAATTCGAACAACTTTGAGTGATTGAGGTGTCACTTATTGAAATGTACACTCTCGAATATATCATTAAAAATTCAGAAATAATTGAGATCGGTGAGGTTCATCTTTTAATTTTAAACAATCCAATAGTGTTCGTCGGACACGTTTTCAAATCGCTTTTCGTATAGAAACAAAACTGTTTAGGTTTTTTTATTGCTATTATAATTTTTTCTTAATATATTCCCTTTGCTTTATCTCCCAAATTATCTTACTAAAGTTTCCTAGAAAAAAATTCTTTCGGTTTACTTTAACAATTTTTTGTGGTTCGTTACAGTACAAAAACTATATTTATACTCGAGAAATAAGCCCGAGCAGCGATAACATGTATAAAAAAGTTGTTCAGAATATTCCATGGTTATTGAAATTGACGAAGGAGACCACTTTTTTAAATAATTGCCGTATATTATTTTTAATTTAACAATAAAGTAGAATTTATTTTAGTAGGTAACCATATCTATTATTTTTTAGAGTTTCAGTTCATTCTAATTTAAACGGTAGCTTTACTTATCTAAAATAAAAAGAACACTTGTAGTTCATGTTTTAAATTTTGCAGAAATGTGTCCTTTGTTCACAAATGGTTTTTTTCGCTTTGTATCGCCAACGAATTTTGCAAGAAGAACTAATAAAATTAAATAAAAAATATATTACAGTCTTCTCGGCTTATTATTAAATGCATGTACAATACAAAATTCGAATTAGTTATGTTTTCCGTGTCCATAAACAAAATTTGGAAAGACATTTTCTAGCCTATTAAAGTGGAATACCCTCTTAATGGTTTCACTGGACTAAAAATAATCAAATTGCGTGTAATCGTATTTTCTCAAAAGCTTTCGCGGTTACAAATGCGTTGAAATCCGTAGTCCAGTTATCACGTTTATTCGCATTAAGAGAAATGAACATTAAATTATATGAAGCAACAAGTACAAGTATAGGAAGTGTATTGGCAATGAATCATTATTTCACGTTATGAAATTTATTTTATTAGTTACAGAACCGAGCGAGAAAGTTTCTTACAAAAATTCAGAAACATTCTGCTTAGTCAATGGAATAATCAATTTTGAATTGTAGAGCAGTTTATATGTCTTCAATGGTAAGTAACCTCTGAATTTTATTTATTGAAATTTACTTGACATGTTTATAAACTTGAAAATACTATTTCGTAATGCTTTTCTGGAATAAAATTTTGTCACTCGTGTGTCAATGGTAACGATGAAGTTACTAGTTTGTGAAATGGGTTTGATGAAAAAGAGAAAACGAACAGATTTTGCTGACTTTAAGAACAAAAGACATATAGATGCGCATATGTATGTAAGTATAAGTACATATCATTTCTCTTTATGTCTGAATCCTGTTTTTGTGTAAATTCCGAAGATTCTAATCAATCAAACTTTAGGATACAGAATCTACATTAACATTCTACATGCAATAATGCAATTAACTTTGAAGAAACTCGTTTCCTAGTTCACCAAACTGTCGAACATTCTCGTGACATATGAACGAGGCGAGCACTATTTAACTACAACCAACGGACAATGTATTCAAAAACGAAAGGCAAGCATTTCATTATGGAAATGATTTATCGCCACAACAACAAACATTATGGATTTAGGTAGTCTCAAGCGAAAACATAGCAACCTTACAATAAACAAGTTAATCATTTCGAAAAGCACATTTAAAAACGTGGATTCGCTAAGTTCGGAATTGTAAATGTTTCTTCCGATGCTCAAAAGGTTCATGACGTTCGTTCCTATTAATTTTCGAAAATGAGTTCGTAAAAACCAAATGCGACATGTAACGGAAATATTCAAGCAGCAATATGTTTAAATATTCATTACGAAAGGACTACATGACGCAGCAGAACCTCGATTATCACTATCGATTGCAATTTAGGAATCCGGATTATCGAGTTCCTAGATGGCTAAGACTCGGTTGATTGAGGTCTTACTGTATATTTCACGTGTAACTATGTAATTATAGTAAACTTATATAATTAGAATATAAGTTTAAGTAACTATGTTCCACTTATGTGGGTAATTATATTATCAGTTTAATTAATTTATTTTCACAACAAAATTTTATTATTTACTTTAGAACACTGTTAATCTCCAAAATAAACTGTCACAGTAAATTTCAAGCATTCGTTTAAAAATAAATTTCAAATGCTAACGTTATCTATGATTTAAGAGATATCGAAAAATAGGGAAAAGATGGTTAGAAATATGTCATTGGAAATTCTTACTTTGATGTTACCGCCTCCAGGCACGTGTTTAGCGTTATCTTTGGAACCAACTTTTGACTTCGCTTTGTCCTTAAAGTCGAGCTTCACTGTTTCTATTTTCTTATCGCCACCGCCAGGTTTGTGTGTTGCGTTCTCCAATGATCCGACTTTTGATTTTGCATTCCATTGGAGTTTGACTTGAGAGATCTGTATTACATTTGTAAAAAATATAACAATATTAATCATTGGATATTATTACTATAACAAGAATCTTCCTATTTTTTGTTTAGTATTAACTGCCATACTTTCATTATAATTACTATAATCTTATTATATAGAAAGAAAAAGTATCGATCTTATGATGTAATTTCCTGGCCCTGATTGTTATTATATGCTTTTTAATTACATAACTTTTTTATTCACTGTCCAATTAATAACGTAATTTGATCAAACATATGTATAATAGTATTCAAACAACATTTTTGTTGCTTTTCTCGATCCCTTTTCTCAAATTTAGATTTTCAAATATTTCTATTTCACAACATATAAGTTAGATAACATAGATTACAAGCAATTTAAAATAATGAGAATATAAAGTAAACCTTCTTATCGCCTCCGCTAGGTGTGTATTTCTCGTTTTTCGCGGCGATCTTCGGTTGTGCCTTGCTGAAATCGAGCTTTCTATTTTCTATTTTCACGTTACCACCACCTGGCTTGTAGCTAGTATTCTCCAACGAGCCGATTTTCGATCGTACTGTCTTCAAATTCGGAGATGGTGCTGCGCCCACTTGAACTTTGTTCATGGGCACTTCTATGCAATGTGGAAAATGTTAGAAATATGCACATTTAACTTGTAACATGTTATAAAATCTTATTCCGTTTATTTAATAAAATTATAACAATATAGAAATCATGTGATCAATTTTTACATTTTCCACGATACTTGAAGAAACTTTAACAGGTTTAACTGTTTGAAATCTCGGAAGACAAATGTGTAGTTCTGTACTACATCTTTTGGGTATTTCTGTAGCACGACAGATTAATAACACTTTTGTTATTTTTTACTATTTATAATTTAATAGGATATTATGAAGTATTCAAATTACGCTTAAAAGGCTTTTCAATGACAATGAAAGGTAACATAGATTAAATGCCACATTAGAAAATCAAAAATAAACAATTCCAACATGTTAAATGAAACATTACGTTTCCTTTTTCAGACTAAATTTAGTTTCTTTCTTTTAAAAAATAGTTTAAGAAACACACGTTTCAATGCTTGGAAGATTTTGATTTGTATTAAAAAATATAAGATCATTTAAGTTATCTAAAAATACCATATACGGTAAGCTAATTGCAGGTGAAATTGTTTTTACCAACTCTTTAAAATTACTAATAATTATATGTAGTATATGTGTAGGTATACGGTAGTTGTCATAAAAATTGATTCTAAAAATATAAATATCTTTGTTTTAATTTAACAAATTTTATGTATGCTAGGAAAAATAGAATGTATTACAATGAATCATCAAATAGATCAAAATAAATTTACTTTTGTTAAGTTTGTAAATGATGTACATTGTGCAGAGATCTATTATAGATATAGGTTTATTTATTGACCACTGCGGTATCTTTAAATTAATGCATATATAATATTATTAATTCATGAATGTAGAAAACCGTAATTATGTTAATTAGATTTAATAATGACATGTATACGAAATAGAAAAAAAATTAAATAATTTTTTTATTATCTACGTGTCATATATTTAAGCACTTACTCTTTTTCTCCTGACCAGCTGTCGATGATGGTGTTTCTGGCGTCCGTGGTAATGATTTAATCGATTTATTCGGTGACTTTACGGGCGACCCAGCTGTCGATCTTTTATCCGCATCCTTGGATTTGGAGGGTGACTTTTTCGTTGGCGAATCTTCCACTCCATTTGTTGCTGGTATCTGAAAAAATATGCCACTGAGTTATTAACGTATGGAATCATTGCCATTATGAAATACATCGATGCATACAGAATCTATGATATTTACCGCATTAGGTTGCGACGAGTCTTCCATTGCATTGCCATTTTCAATACCTGTGAAAATAAAGACAGTATTGAACTTTCTCTTCAACACTCAACGACGTATTAAAAAAAATATTTTATCTTACATTTTTGAAGCAAAATCTTGGTAATTTGATCCAAATATTATTAAATAATAGTTTAGAAATGATGGAGATCGAATCAACTGCAGAAAATGAAAAAAGTATTTACAACAAAACCGTCATTGAACCAAGCAATATTTGCACTGTAAAACTGTATTTAGATACAGTTAAATTCAATGTATATGATAATATTATAATTGGATGCTACGATATAAAGCTATAATAGTCGTTGTTTAAATTAGATTTCATTTTTACCATGCCCTTCTACATTTACATGTCCTGGCTTTCAATTAATCAACACTTTTCTGTGTTTTCCGTAAATATAGATAAAAACCTGTCGTTGCTGTTACAGTCTTCTTTCCCGATTTCTCATCTACGTGAGCAGGCGTGGGTGCTCGTTGAATTCTCGGCGTGGACGGTTTCGATCGGGTCTTTTTCTCGTCGTTTACTTCTTTCTCATCCGAACTTTCAACGAAAGTAGCTTTTTTCTTTTCGTGCACCACGGATTTCTCACTGATGGTTGGTGACTTAGGGGAAAGCGGCGACTGAGGACTGGACAACGCCGGTGATTTCGGCGATAACGATCTTCTTTGACCGTTGTCGAATCCTTTAACGCTCTCTTCAGGCGATTTCGGGGTGGACAAGATCGATTCTGTTGCCAACAATTTTCCTTGGCTCTCGGACGGCGTCGGAGACGTTTTCGCTTCTTTCGTAGAAGCGGAACTTGGACTTGCTTCTCTTATAGAAGTGGCACTTGCACTCGGACTTGCTGCTTCCACGGAAGCAGGACTTGCACTGGGGCTTGTTTCTTTTGCAGGAGAGGAACTTGCACTGGGGCTAATTGTTTTCGGTTCTAAATTATCTTGTACCGGTTTCCTAACGCTTTCTTTCTCACTTTCTTCTGTTGTTTTGCTGGACTCTTCGGAAGCACCCACCGCAGAATCTCTCGATTGTTTTTCATTTAAATGTTCCTCTGACTTTTCAGACATTTGCATGGAAGCTTTAGGTTCTTCTTCCCGTTGAGACTTTTCTTCCAATGCGTGTTCCACTTTTTTATCTACACTTTCATCCATTGTCTTCGGTTCTTGCGCTTTTTTATCGTCGCTCGCTTCTGCTGGTTTACTCTCGTTTGATTTGGATTCAGAGGCGCCTTTAACTTCATTGGCTTCCGCTGGTGTGGAAGCCTGGGACTTAACCGGTGTTTTATTCAATTCTTTCGATTCCTCTTCGTTTTCGCTTGGTTTCACATCGGCCGGTGTACTCGCGCGCGATTTCTCTGGGGATTTCGAAGGTGTCTTCAACTGTCCCACCTGATTGTTGTTCATTGGCGTAGTCGAGCGAGAAGTGTCCGCCGACTTAGATGGTGTCTTTAATTCATCTTTCTGTTTCTCGGTCGATTCGGTCGGCGTACTAGATCGAGATTTGTCTGGAGACTTGGAGGGTGTCTTCAGCTGTTGCTCTTTCTGATTCTGGTTCGCATCAATTGGCGTAGGCGCTACGGATTTATCTGGGGATTTTGTATTTAATTCCTGCTCGTTCTGTTTGTCTTCGTTCGAGGACTTCGCAGCTGACTCGCTTGCTTTAACGTCTTTAACCTCAGGCATTGGAGAAGCTATTCTCTTTTCCTCTTCCGATCGAAGTTCTTTTCCCGCATCCACCTTCTCGTTAATATTTTCATTTTCGATCGTTTTATGTGCCGATTCCTTCTGCTCCCCTTTGTCTTCCGCTTTGTCTTGCTTATCAGAACTCTCTGCGCGTGGTTCAAGCTTCGGAGAAGACAAACCGTTTTTAATTCCAGCGAAGTTTTTCGCAGATTCGATTTTACACGTCCCATTTTCCAACACGTCAGGTTTAGCACTTGCAGCAATATTGTTTATATGTTTATCGCTTAATTCTTCTGCAGTCTTGTCTTTCATTTTTGTGTCCACTTTATCGTTAATTTCCTCTGTAATCTTATCTTTGGGCTTGGAATCCATTTTATCGTTCATTTTTTCTATGACATTATCCATGATTTTTGCGTCCGTTTTGCCACGAAGTTCTTCTACATCCTCGATTTTGGGTTTCACGTCCATTTTCCCATTTATCGTAGCAGTTTCCGGTCTCCTCGGCGATTGTGTAGTCTCTTTGTTCCCCGCCCTGGATTCCACCGATTCATTCGAAGAGTCTGGACGAGGCGACTTCTTGCCGTCCACAACGACGTCGTCGTCATCATCGTTCTCCGTGGTTTCGCGGATCTTTTCCTTCGGGACGGAATTCTCGATCTGCTGCAGCTTCCTGGCGTTATCGACATCGGCCATCCTTTCGACCACTATTCGCGGAACCGGGGGTTTTCGGTTTTCTTTCTGGGTCAACGGACTTGGCGGGAAGCTCAACAACGATTCATTTCGTTGCAGTTGCCTCTGCGCGATTTCTTGCGGTCGAGCAAGAATGTCCGGGTTCCGTGTCTGCGGCGGCGGCGGCGAATGCTCGAAACCCGGTTGCAGGGGTTGCTGCGCGTTTCTTTGATATTGTTGACCTTGAAAATTGCCAGGTTGCGGCAATCTAGGTCTTTGTTGCGGACCGGTCCTATTATTGATCGGAGACGGGGCGAAACGTGGATTCAACACGATAGGCGGATTTTGAGCCTGCTGAGGTAGTTTTTGAGACAATTGGTTCCCCGGCGGCCTTGGCTGTCCGTATGGTCTCAGTTGTATTATTTGACCGGGGCCGGAAGGTCTGAGTGGAGCACGACTGTCGAAACGGATGTGCGGCGGCGGCTGTCCTCCTGGCCGTGGTTGTCCTATAGGGCCATTATTTAGGGGGTTTCTTGGTGATCCAGGTGGACCTTGCGGTCGCGCCCGAAAGCCGGGTGGTAATGTTGCGTTTGACTTTACCTACGGAACAATAAATCGTGAAAATTCACGGCGGATTGCAAACGGGACTGAATCGAGAAAAAGGCTCGAATTTAATCCATTTTGTTTTTGTATGTGTTCGATTTATTTTTTTGGTCATTGTCGCCAGCTTATATGCGTATACGTCAATATTATCGTTATATTATGACTTATATTAGGTTATTATTATGATTGTTGTTACTATTATTTTTATTGTTGTTGTTTTTTATAATTGTGTTACCATATATCAGGAGTTCTCAGGTTTTCCATTACTTGTTACTTATTTGTGTAGAATGTACTCTTATAACAGTAAAATATATTCATCATAATATTCATTTTTTTAAAATGTACCTTTATACTGGTAAAATGCTAGTCATTCGTTCGTTTGTTATTTAAAATTTATATGTTGTAATTGCAAATAGGTACAGTACAATTTATGATAAGTTGTATTTATTATTTTTAGTTTATAATTGTAGAAAGTTAAAGAATTAAATGTACTGGAATAATAAGATGTATAAAAAGTAAATGCACATTTATACGTACAAATTACATGATAAAATGATCTCAAGTTGATGGAGTTAATTAATCAATACAAAAAGATTATTCTTAATACGTCTTTAAATAGTACTTAATAATAGCTTCTTCTTTCTTCCATTATATAATTATTTCATGTAAATGCAGAATCGTATTAACACAACACAAATAATTATACAACAGTATAATCTAGTCCTAGGCAAATTTAACTTTTTGTTTAGTTGTCCAATTGTTAGTTTCGGTCATTTCAGTTCGTTAATAATGCTTAGTACTATCAATAAAATTCAATTTATCAAAACTTTCACTTTTTTTTCTATAAAAACAAAAATAATGTTTAATTTTACGTTTAAAATTTTGTTTAAAATTAAGCATTATTCAATTTTAAATAAACTTCATCATCTCTTCAGCAAAACGCGATAAGTGTTAAAGCTCAGATAGCTTACCTGATTTAACCGCACAGATGTGACTTATAGATTACATTCATACATTCATTACTCAACATATTTCTCATCGATGATAAACGCGCGGGAAAATAATAAATAGTGTTTCAAAATTCAACTGTTGCAAATATTCATTTGCAAATTCTCATTTAACTGTCTAATTATTTACTAACATCGAATACAATTTTATTTGTTATTCTTATCTTTCATCCGTTATCCGAAGAAAATTTTGTTTAACATTGGTAAATACGTCGATGTGATTGTGGCATGTGTTTTAAGTACTTATTGTAGTACGTTCAACGAGACGAGTCAGTAACAGGTAGTGGCTATTTTAGAGAGACCATTTAGGTGGAATAGAATCGCAATAATCGGGCAGAGTGAGTAGCTGGATTTGGTACTAGTGATTGAATCGATACCACCAGTGATACTCAAACGATTCGATACCAAAGTACTGTGTAAATAATATTGAAAAATATAGAAAAAGGTAAGTACTTGGTATTAATTTTTGAATCAATACTTGTTTGATACATCTGAAAGCTATTAATATTTATTTGATGCCTAGTAAAATTCTCGATCCATATTTGATGCTTCACAAAATTGTTGACACTTTGATATTTCATCTTCAAGGGTTATACTTGGATTATTATTATTCGTTGCACAATATACATTATAACGTGAACTAAAAATTGCGTTTAACATAATTAAAAAAATGTTGAAAAATAATGTTACAAGTGGGATTCTTCATAAAAAAGTAATACAGGCGGACACATTAGGAAATAAGAAATAAAAAGGTTCTAAATTAGCAGAAAATTCGGCTGACGAAAAATTTAAGCCAGTTTCCAAGAAACGATGTCGATGGAACTTAATTTGAAGAGATTCTGAGAGTAATTAAATTTTAGTTTTTCCTGTGGTTTTGCTTTAAGTTATTCTATTTAGAAAACAAAAACATTTTACGTTTTTGTTGTTTTAAACTCAGTTGCATATTATTTCTTCTCATATTAAAAAAAGTATTTATTTGATTCTAACCTTTGGGGATCTTTGTTCTATAACGCTCAACGTGTCTGCCTGAATTATAAGAGATCTTACTGTATATTATTAGGTTAATCGTTCGTTGTGATAACCAAGTGCATAAATGCATTTTTCACAGTTGAGCCTTTCGATTCTTCTTATCTAAATTCTACAAAAGCTGCACGCGGAAGGTAAATTTCTTTCCTTGCATATATTCACAATCTTACTATTGACCATTATACTCCCAAGGTACTTTCTAAAACGCGAAGTACCCGAGTTCACTGTGAAACATGCACTCACTTAGAAATTACAGGATACAGGTTACACAATAAAGCGTACGCTGAAAAAATCGTATTAACCCTTAAGTAGGAAGGTAAAATTTGTTAACGTAAGTATTTTCTCGGGCACACGTACTAAGGTAAAAGCACCAGTAGTTGACCAGTTGTAAGATAATCTTAGTAAAGGGAAAGTCGAACGCTGGTCGTCTGCGTTTCGTCAATCGGTGCCTATCAGGGAATTCTTCCCCGTAACTCCCAAGCGAGGAACATCAAATTAAAAGAAGTAATATTCAAACCAAGTTTGTACCATTTTATTATTTAGCCCCCAAAGTCCTGCCATACACAGTAGAAACACCCTACCCGACCACTTAAAGGTTAATCAATAATTATTTTGTCATATTTTCACACGGATTGATTAGTAAAAAAGATACAGAGCATATGATGATTAAATTGTCACAACAAACGGTCGTGAAAGGGGGATATAACAACGTTGCAAGGAGTTATTCATCTTTTATTGATAGATAAACCAACAAATCTAATGTATGAATATATCGAGGACAGAGACTTATGTTCTAAAACCCATAAAAGAGGTTACTAAACGTGATATTATGAAATACGAAATCAGCACTTAATATTATGCATGATAAATCATCTTAATACATTTACTTAAAAATCGTGAGCGATTTGGTAGTGTAGCTCAAGCCTTTGATATCAATATTTTGAAGTATCAAAGGTGTATCAACTGTGTCATCTGTCATATCAAACAAGTATCGACGTTTTCGCAGAAGTAGGCACTAGATGAATTTCCATACATTCTGATATCCACATACATGTCGGATGATATTTGATCCATCATAATTTGCGAAGTGGAATCGATACAATTGATTCAGTATTATTTTTATCACTAACTGCCACATCTGTATTAGGTGGATTGTACTTCGCACGCGCCGATTAAACAATACGATATCTAAGCAATAATTCAGGCATTTATTTCTGTTATTATTCATATTTTATAATTTTACTAATTTTGCTCTCGATTTTTACAGTTTCAACTAAGAAATATAGCATTTTTCATTTTTGCTAGGGATACTATATATATTAGTTACAGTTGCTAATAATTCTCTGGTAATTATTTACAATACCGATTTGGACGACCTTGAAATATGTTATCAAGGTTATCATTCCGAACAACTTTTTCCTAAACATGTTACCGCCGCTCAACCTTAGTTTTTCAGATATTCGCGAAAATATATCGGGGAATGGGGAGCTTTCGTACTTATTTATAAAAAGAGTGACGGCGGTAACATGTATAAGTAAAAGTTCTTCAGAATGATGACCTTGACAACGTATTTCAAGGTCGTCGAAATCCGTAACGAAGCAGTGTTGTAAATAATTAACAATTTCATGAATTCTGTCTAAATTTTATGTTATGTCTTTGATACAAAAGATAATAGCACGCTCGTGTTTTGTTTGTGAGTATTGATTCAGTTCCTTGAATAAACTGAAGACTTCGCATGAAAACTGTAACTGTATCTCCCTTACTCTCTGCGAGTGAATGGGGGAAAATTGTAATTTCATATGTTGTTCCCGATTCTTATCGAGACTCTCCGTAGTTAAGGCGCTGTCCCACGCTGCATGCTAGACTACGTACAATTCATGCGCCGCAATAGAATGCATCGTGAGAATGGTCGGTTTATGTTCGCGTAAAAACTGTCAGTTGAAATTATGAATTCATATTTGCATACGGAATAGTCTTTTCTTTAATTGATTCGCAAAAAAATGCACACTACGTAACTGTAATTTTCAGCCTATTATAACTCCAGACACGATTAAAAAATACTACTGAAAATTTCGACTACGCTAACAAGTAGACTCTGAACGGAGTAATTTTCACAAATATCAATTTAGAGAATGGTAAATCATTGTAACAGCAGGAACAATGATTTTGTTTTGAATTCTTCCATTATAAAATCTGTAAATTGATCGATTAGAATAATGTTAAACTAATAAGGAAGCTCCGGTCACTTCTATTATTGACAGAATTGCGTTTTTCCATTTTTACTTCTGTTTTCAGATCATTTTACTTATCCTTGATTTAGAGAACTGTTTGCTTCTGAATACCCATAAAACTGTTCATTAAAACTTTTTGCCTGGACTGTAAGCATGTTCCGAATCCCATGAATACTTCAATATTCAACACGGCTTTCTCTTTTGTTCAGAAATGAAGATTCATATCTTCGAAACTTAAGTTCCCAGTTTAGTCTTGCTTTTATCGATTTTAAAATTTTCATTTCAATGTTCAGGCCACAGAAATTGTACTCAAAACGGGTGAAAGACAAGGCACCACTGGTGGTTGATATTGGCCCTGAGCCCATCGATCATCCGATAATGGAAACCAGTGATGTCTCGAAGATCCGTACACCGTACCTGCCACCGATCGACTTTTCACTCGTTATGGGATTAAGCCACGAATGATTACAGTATACCATCAACATATATCGCGATCACGAGTCATTTCAAACTAGCGTGACCTACGGCAGTAGGTTCTCTTTACGGTGCACGACTGTTTCCTTTCGTTTCACCACGAAATTCATCAGCGAAATCGTTCCAAGAGCTTGATCAAATTCGATGCACGAGTGTGCTACAGAAATTAGGTCTTTAAAATAGTGCGAAGTTCAGAACGCGGTGTAAATCGATCGTGTGAGCTAATTAAACGGCACGACATTCGATAATCGACTTTTCGCTATGTAGTCAATTAAAGAACCATGCTATTTTCATATCAGAAGCAACATAGGTTCTATGGTATTTTTGTACAGCGTTAACCATTTTGATGTTTATGTCGAGTATACTCGTCATGAAAATATGAAAGTTCTTGCTTAATGACGAGCATATTGGTCACGAATAACTCTTCATTGTTTTGCTGTAATGGACCAGATATCTCGGTTTTACGATATCGAAGAACCGATGCTATGGACGAGATATATCGTCAGCACAGTTTTAAAGAGTTATACTTGTTGATTTATAAAATAAAATAAAATCGAATTTTTTCACCAGTCACGCTGGAACAATCCCTTAAGATGTTAGGAAGTTTTTTTCCTTTTTAGTCGATTTATGTGCAGCCATTCCAAACGTTTCAATTTTTGAAAGTATCACGAGAAAGATTTTTATTATAGAATAATTTGGAATTTTTATAGTTCAGATATTTAGTTCGGTGGTTTCTATTTTCTCTAAGCTGAGTATTTTTGAATGAGAAGAATGTTCGTTCTGTGTCAAACAATACGTATATTAAAGGAAATACCATAACTATTACATTTACATGTGTTCTTTATAAAACAGAAATTTATAATTGCATTTGATAGAATTGTTTGATGATTTAATGTATACACTAATAACTTCCTTACTTTTAACAATCTTTTAACCCCTTGCTCCACGATATCGTGTCAGACTCGTGATGAAAATCTTCAATTGAATTTGATAAATCTAAATGTCATTTATTTTTCAAAAATATAAACTGCACTTTTCTATTATCAATTATTAACCTCTGGTGTAAACGTGGACATAGAATAAGCATCAAGCTCTATTCTTTTTCTAAGAAATTATTAACGATAACGTACGTTTATCAAGCACAGTTGTGAAAGAAATCACAGGGCAAGGGGTTAATCATTTTTATACAGTACTTAAAAAAGTCCATATTCTTTCTCTGTTAACGCAGAAATATCAAAAATAGCGATTGTGATTAATTCTTTATAGTTTTATTCGACAGTGTGCATCGTTTATGAAGTATTAATAATAAAATATTATTAAAACGACTTTTTTTAACCGGATGAATCTTAAAATTTCAAGGTTTCTCGTTCGATATCGATTACATTCTGGCGATGTCTAATTAAAGAACGAAACTTATAGCTTACCATATTTTCTTTGCGGTCCGTGGCAGACTCGGCCGCGGTGTTAGCAGTTTCTTGCGAGGCCATTTTAAGTTCGTTCGTTACACAATTAAAGTTTACGCCGTTTAGATTCGAGAATGTCCTCACGCCTGGTGAAACATTTCTCCATATACCTGTTGCGTATCAACGATAATCATTGCACCGTAGATATTACACGATTCTACTACACAGGTGGTTGAGCGTGTATCAAACGAGTCTATACTGTGATCAATGAATCGTACTGAATGGAAACGTACCGTATATCTTTGATGCGTGAATTACCATATTTGAATGTGAACGACAATCTAAAAAGCATATGATGCCGCTGTGATTATCGTTGTCAATTACATTTGCTAATTGTCGATCCTTTGTTTTCAGCTTCCAACGTGGAAAGTGCTAACAAAATACTACCGCAAAGTTACAGTATATTTGTGCATAACATTGTAAAATACAAGTATTCATTATTATTATAATATTAGTGTATACATACAACGTCAAATATTAGTTGTATTATTATTATCAATTGTATTTGTGTTCCTGAATATTTACAGTGAGTCACGAGAGTATTCGTATCTCCTGAACTGCCGAATTTAAACGATCGATATGTGTTTACAATGCAAGCTTCAAAGTTTTTATCAACAAGTACGTATGTTGAAATCACGAAGTTTTCAAATTTGTATATACTTTATTGCAAAATGATATGTCTTTATAGTAAAAATGTAACTTTACGTAAACAGAAACAAAATTGGTCTCACAAGCCTAGTAATTTAGATCGTCTGAAAATTATTAAAAAATGCAAAGGTGCAAATTACTTACATTTTTAGTATAGCTTGTATAGGTACGAATACTCTTGTGAGACCAATTTTATTCCGGTTTACATAAAATTATACTTTTGTTATATTAACATGTTGTTTTGTAATTAATTTTATATAAGTTTCAAAGCTTCGTAATTCCAACATGTGTTTCTGTTGATGAGAACTTTGAAATTTGCATTGCAAACACATATCAATCGATTAAATTCGACAGTTCAGAAGGTACGAACACTCTCGTGACTCACTGTATGTATAACGTGGAATTATAATTTTTTTTAATAATGCTATATAGTCACTATTAGATACCCTATGCATTACACAATTTACTATATACAATTTTCTTTACATTGTTATAATTGTAAAATAACGAGTGATCACTTTAACAATTCATCTTAATTGTATCATAATAATCTGTAATTAAAAGATCCATGAGTTCAGTATCATTAATTTCGTGCTACCCGTGGAACGTTCAGATCCAATTAAACGTCAATTTATTTTGAAACGAAGTTTACACGTGTTTATTTTTAGTTGTATTGGATGTAGCTTATTTACAGGAATCGTGGACTAACTTCGAAAGATTCCTGTATATTTCAAATACTTGAACGGAACTGTTTAAGGTAACAAGCTATAAGATGATTGCCATGTTGCCTGCTCCGGTAAATACCTACAGTGCGTGAAACAACGAACATTTGCTATTACGAATTAATAATACATGTTATACGTGCCTGAGAATACGGATACGTGCTAACGTGATATCAGCAATTACACGACATTGCTTCACGTACAGTGTACTTTCTTGGTGCGATTACTACTATTGGCCAATTCGAACATGCCACCACAGAATGCGTCTACTTTTACAACAGCTTACTTAAAATGTTTCAATGTTAAGTATAAATTGGACAAAACGACATTTTTTATTAGTTTTCTGTTAATGTAGATTTAATATCAATCTTTCTTTTTAAATTGGATTAAAATTAACGGTAAGCTAATACGTTTGCTAAAACTATTTAAATATTCAAATTTAACTTTGAAGAAATTTTTTAAAACGGAAAATTAACTGAAATTTTATTATTAGTTTCACTTTTATTTAATTTTTCATTTCGAGGAATTGTTATTTAGAATTAAACCTAAATAGAAATATATATTTAACTCTTTTAAATCTGGTTTTTGCACAAAACTATGTTCACATATCTAACAACAATGGATCTTTATTCAATGCACCATCAGTAACATTATTTCGAATAAAATAGTGGTAGTGTATTACTTTTGTCATAGAAACAGGCTCAAAGTAAAAGTGTGTATGTATGTGGTTGCCTATCACAGTTTTAATGTTTTGTCAGATATTGAAATAGTAAAATTGTTTATATTATAACATACGCTTGGTTTGAGGAGGTTAAAATGAAAGTATAAAACCAGAAGAACTAACGATAAACCCCATTGATTTGTCGAAAATGATTAATTTTTAAGTTATAAAATCGTGATTATCACGAACATGTGAAGTTAATACTAGGTTTATCGATATTTTTGTATACGTATCTCTATCAACACGGGTCAATTTGACCCATGAATAGAATCACACATTTTCTTTAAAAGACAACTTTGGTCTGAGATGTATGAGTGAAAGTCAGTACAAGTGGCTGAACAAAATGTAAACAGTTTCTATAGTTCTTCTCACAAAGTTCGAAATTGTTAACCCTTAGCAGTCCTATGTCGGGTCAGACTCGACATTCTATTTTATTGCAACCTCTACCTGTTTTAACAATTTTTTCTATATTCATTTATAGTATCACAATTGTACCATTTAAAGGTATCATTTCAATGACTCCCAAATATTCTTGAATAAACAAATAGAGCGTCATATTAAGTTGTAATTGAATGAACTAACGTCGACGTGAACCTCAAAGTGAGAAACCAAGAACACTTCGGACCGCAAAGGGTTAAAGTTCCAATGTAAAAGTTCCAATCGTTTCTTTGGATTAAATAAATTCAATGAAGTTATTATTAATTACTGATTAAATGAACTGCTTATTGTTTCACTTATAGAATTCTAAATATGAAATATATATAGCCTTTTTAATTTTGACATAATTTTTTAAGAAATTCTACTAACCATGACAAACAATGCAATTTGTTTATTGCTTGATGTAAGTTAGTTAATGGTAAAATGTAATCAAGTGTTGAAGGTGTGAATGGCTCCCCAGAGGTTAAAGTAAACAAACAAAATAAATGGAAGGTAAAAAAGTTTTAAGGGTTGAGAGGGAAAAGTTAGATGAAGAAACGCACGCGATCACCCCAACAATGGCGGTTCAGAAGGATTATATTTCTATGTGTAATGGTAGTGATGGCTAACCTTGGTAAATACATTCGCGTGGTATTACGAAACCACTGTGGCTTCGTGCAAAAGACTACTAATTGAAGTAACGCACCCTTAATACAACAATTACCTCAGTGGAATGCCTAATCACCATACTTGATGCATCGGAACGATTAACTTTTTCAGACAGTATGAAAATACAAGTATTTTTTCCTTAAATTTTGTAAATAGAGGATATAAAAATAGTGATACATAGATGAATCATAGAAAAACCCAACAATCCTAATATTTATAATATTTGTATTATTAGAATAATATTCATTTAACGAAGTAAATTTTTAAATACACGATTTTTATACATTGATCACAAGAAAGAGATGACGTTACTAATACAATTTTTGAGATTTAAATTCAGTCTCTGATGAATATTTCAATTGTTTTTAAAGGGAGGGAAATAATTTTATTCTCTTACAGTATTCGTTAAGAGTATATAGCATATGTACATATTTTGTTTATGCAGTAATTTATACATCAGGTTAATGTTCATATGCAAAATAGGCTTATCGAAAATTTAAGAAATTTTTAATGGTTTTTACTTAACAGAGAAGTATATAATCTCGTAACTTCATGTCTTAACATTCACAATGTAACATAAGTGGAATAATAAATGACTACAACGTGTACTATATATTTATACGTAGAACATTATTAAGCATATAATATCTTTATGTTTTTATATTCATAATTATTATGTACACATACATTATTATTAGACGTATTGCAAATATTTAAAACATAGATCTATGAAATTCTATATTTACATAATTTGTAAAAATCTTTATAAATTTATTTTTTAAACTAAATATTTATAGACAATCCAACATAATTTAAATTACACAAAAGCACAAAACTGTAAACACAGTAGGCACTTCTCAGCGAGACAGATTAATTTCATGATTGATGGATACAACTGCCACATTCTTTATCAACAACTCACGCTATCGGGTGGTTGTAAAAAAGAAGAGTAAAAGTGAAATGGCTTAAGATTTCCGACTTAACTTCACAGAAACGCTACGATAAAGGTTTAGTTTTTAGGATAACATAAAGTTTCTCTGTACACCACTAACACAACGTGTAACCTTCTAGTAACCTCTAGACGCTTTTTCAGCTACCGTTGCTAGATTCTTTTTAATTACTTCTTTAGCATATTCACGAAACTGATCGAGAAGATCGCCAGCGATTCCCTTTCCACTTTGTTCTACCGACACGACTTCTCTCTCACGATCTAAATCCACAGATACGCGAGGATTTCGTGTGAACTCTGTTCAATGAACAAGTGATTAGGATATCTGATGGTCAAAAATAACTGTTCCCTTCGAAAACAGCTCATTTAACTGTATCGCAATTACTGGCTCATTTTCCAACCTTTTCTCCTATAGTTAAATGATACTTCGAGGAAAAGAAAATAGAAATACTATCACGTCCCGCTAGATCTTCCGACTTCAATATTATCGAGAATTGTTGGGGCATACGCGAAATGTCGACAGTTCAGCAGCATTGAAGAAAACAAGAGGATAAAAAAGAAATAATTCTCTACTCAAAAGAATGTTAGAGGCTGTAAAAACAAAGGTGCTAGCACAGATTATTAATAAAAGGTAATAACGAAATTTATATTTCGTTTTGCCATTAGAAAAACAGCCTGTCTTATAGTTTCGTCGCGGGTCATCCGATCGTCGGAGAACTGTAAGCCTAATACTTCGTAGAACATGTTCTAAGGTAAATATTAACAATCCACTAGCACGAGAAACAAATTCCTTCGTACAATACCAATACGTACGGTGGGGTGTCTTATAGTTTTGTCGCAGAGTTTAACTAACGTGTATTTACTTTAATCGTATTACGTTCTCTGGGTCTCCTCTGACCTGTACACGATGTTCTTCTTTCAGCAAGATTTTTGTGTGTTTAAAATTTACTAGTTTATTTAGATTTTCATTGTATGACTTTTAAA